GAAAAAAAAAAAAAAAAAAAAGAGACATTACAAAATTATCAGTTTCTCTGGATTTACAGGTATGTGTTTGAGTACAATTAACATTTTTGTTTTATTCTGTAAACTCGAGAAATTACAACATTTCTCCCAGATTCCATATAAAAAATATTGTCATTTGTTTGCAGAAAATGACAACTGGTCAAAATAATAAAAATATGCTATGCTTTCAGATTTCACATAATGGCACATTAAAGCTGGAGTTATTGCACCAAATATTTATTTCTGAATTCATTCCAAGTTAAAACATTAGTATTGTGGGGTTTTTTTATTCATATGAACTTGTTTTCTTGCCATTATTCGAGATCTGAAAGCACTTTATTGTTTTTGTTATTTTGACCATGTATCTTTTTTTCTGAATAAAACAAAAATGTTCAATTTACTGAAACACATACCTATAAATAGTCTAAATTTTTAATGCTATTTAGGTTTATTAACAAATAGTAACAAAAATACCAATTCACATGAACAAATATAAAAAAAATAAATAAAAAAAACTGTATAATTTGTAGTGGTCTCTATATTATTAAGAAAATAAAAATGAGAAATTATTTAAAAATTAGAAATTATATTAATACAAACGTGAAATGTTTCCCTGGCAACTAACTGAAATATTTTTAAGTTGAAGCACAAAAACTACAACTGAACTACAAATAAAATTTAAATAAATTAAACATAAATAGCAACATAAAAATGACAAAAGCACATAACAAAATGACTACAAATTTAACAAATTAAAATATAAAAATAAACGTTAACTCAAAATATTAACAGTAAATGGTATATAGGGTTAGTTGGTCCATTTTTCCCAGTCATCTTAATGGTAAAAAGTGTTCCAATTTACATGAACTCACTATAACGTCACACGTATATTGATGTACAATGGCCTGTAGATGCAATGTGCAGCAGACGTTGCCCTTACCAATTACCACAGTTAGACGAGGAACTTTACTTCACTCGTTAAGAAACTACAGCTGCTACAGTAGCCTCTCTGTTTGCAAAACCATTCAGACTGTGGGACATTCGTGTCAGAGCACGAGAGACATTAACATGAGACGAGCTGCTACCGAGACTGTCACAGCAACCTGATGGCGTTGCCTGGCAACCGGGTGGCTCCACTGAAAGGCAACCGAATCTCAGCTGAAACGAGGCCAGAAATCGTCCCCTTAAATGACACGTCAAAACAGGGAAGGAAGTCATCAGAAACTGGAACGGATCCTGTGCAAAGTGCAAGCTTAAAGTTTAATCCCATACTTACGCAGCTACACCTGCTCAAGGTTACGGGATGTTTATTTGTCCATTTACACGCTCCGTATCGGTCATCTTCTCTCTGTTTCACAAAAAACACCGAAATAACTCAAAGGGAATCGATATTTTAAGCTCAAAGCAAACAAACTGACAAGAACTCCTTTGTAGCTGCAGAATTCTACGATCTGCCACAGCAAAGGATCGATATTTTATACACATTTTATGTAGAGGCCTTCATTTCATGCCCATTTTTTCCTACCAATTTTCTTTCTATTTTATGTATTTTTTTATATACATTTAATTTAGATGTATAGCATATAAATTACATTTTCTTTAATAAAATATATATTTTTTTATGTATGCAAATGTTCTGTCTACCATGTTACTGACCAAACAACCCCATGGAAGCCTGTTGGGTACATTGTTTTTGCAATACTTTATGATTTAAGTTTAAATACATTTTCAAGTATGAGGTTAACCTGGTCTAGAAAATAACGTGGTTGCAGCATAAGTCAAAATGGTGAAATTGTCAACTGTTACTTGTCAACTAAGTTACTATGTAGAGCCAATTGGTTGATAACGTTTGTCATAATCAGACTGTGTCCACTGACAAATTGTTGAATTGCCATATATTGTTTTTTATAATAAATTTAACCTTCTATGTTTCAGAGGAGATACATATGAGCTAACAATGTGTGTAGTTAGTCCACACACATTGTTAGTTAATAATACTTTTACAGTATATTTTATATCCAGACAGGTTGGTGTTCTGCATAACATCTCTTAAAATTATTTAAGGAAGATTTATGATTTTTTTTTTTTTTATCTGACCTTAGTAGTGTACCCCCAGTTATAAAATGAGGCATCACATTCCATTCTTGTTTTAGAGCTTCAAACATGGTTGAGATAGGTAGCAATCACAGTCTACGCTTTCCATCCAGGTGCCACATTTTGCACAGAAGCGAATGAAACTGCCAGTTCCCAGATGGATTGCGTTGCCCTGGGCACTGCCAATCTGCTGGAAACACACTGCGACCTTGAGTCACAACACCCGGGTTGCTGAGGTCAGAATTACAGCTTCTAAACAACAGAAAGAGCATCCTGTGACATCCATAATATCAGTAGGAAAAGGGATATGGGATCATGGGATAGGGCACGGAGCCGATGCTATTTTGAACATTAAAGATGGCAAAATGACAGTAGACCAGGGGTGTCATTTATCATTGTAGAGCAGATTTTACTAAATCAGGTTCTTAAACAGGAGGCCTTATAAAACTTCAAGGGGGCCCTGAAATGATTTAGTTATACACAACCTTAATTAAAATGCTAATACTGTATAAAGAAAGAAAAATGTACACAAAGCCCAGAATCAACTTTATGCTGCTTTATCAACCATTCACCATTAGATTATACAAAACTGGTTATTAGACTATATTAAATTACAACAATATTGTCAAAAAAAGAGAGAAAACCACTCACTGTTCTTGACTGGATAACTTGAGCTGTAGTAAGCACATCCATAATATCAGTAGGAAAAGGGATATGGGATCATGGGATAGGGCACGGAGCCGATGCTATTTTGAACATTAAAGATGGCAAAATGACAGTAGACCAGGGGTGTCATTTATCATTGTAGAGCAGATTTTACTAAATCAGGTTCTTAAACAGGAGGCCTTATAAAACTTCAAGGGGGCCCTGAAATGATTTAGTTATACACAACCTTAATTAAAATGCTAATACTGTATAAAGAAAGAAAAATGTACACAAAGCCCAGAATCAACTTTATGCTGCTTTATCAACCATTCACCATTAGATTATACAAAACTGGTTATTAGACTATATTAAATTACAACAATATTGTCAAAAAAAAAAGAGAAAACCACTCACTGTTCTTGACTGGATAACTTGAGCTGTAGTAAGTCACCTGAAATTGATCAACACAAAATTAAGCCTTATAACTCCATCTCAAGCACTAACAGCATCAAATCAATATTAATTAATCTAAAATGTAATGGAGAAACAATGATTAATTTACTTACCTCTAATACGTCCCTTGCCATTTTCCATGTTGTCATTATTTTCATGAATGACTCACAGACTTTGAGAAAAATACATATTTTGTTCCATCGATATTCATATGGTTATATTGACCCCTGGAATAATTATTTCAAGATTGGTCACTGTTTATAGAACCTGTTCATGTCTGCTTTAAAGGATAGTTAACCAAAAAATGAAAATTCTATCGTCAAACACTCACCCTTCACTTGTTCCAAATCTGTATGACTTTGTCTACTGTGAACAATTTTTATTTTTGGGTTAACTATCCCTTTAATATTTCACAGGTCTTTTTTTCCCTCACATGTGCATCAAATCAACATTTTGCATTTCCACTTCTGAGCAGTACTATAAAAAACAGGAACAGTAATCCAATTTTTAGTGTATAAATAAGTGGAATAAAGCAGCTTCAAAAATAGAGCAATCGTGTCTGACACCACACAGTGAAAAAGACACACTGAAAGTGAGAAATTAATAATTTTTAATAGAAAGTGAAAAATTGCACTCTAATAATATACAGTTATGCTTGATTCATACTTTACACCTGTATACAGTTGTATTCGTATGCAAAGATTGTGATCCCTTTTAGGGCGCAGGTTGTAAATAGGATTCAGTCACAGCTTTACTGATTATGCGGTGGTGGAGGAGGTGGAGGTGGGGGCTGGAACATAAAGCCCTGATTGGGCCCTGGGGGCCACAGGGCCATTCCCATGTGAAAGGGTGGCGGTCTGGGAAAAGGTGGCATCATTGGGCCCTGGAAGGGAAACATGTGTGGATCTGGAGGGGGGAACATGTATTCCGGTGGGAAGGGGGGGTGAGCGTGATAGTTGCTATGGAAACCGCCACCGCGATCGTGGTGCTGCCCACGGGAAACGTTGCGGTTCTGTCTGGGCTTCCGCCGACCGGATTTATGAGGGGGCGGACCTTTATGGGCATCCAATTCGTCCTCTGGAAAGTAAAAACAGTGATTAACAGAGCAGTTAGCGCATATAAACATTATGTGTGGTGCTCATTCAGGTTCGAATTCAGATCACGTCGGTAAAAAAAACAAAAAAACAATTGAACATAAAATTGACCGTTTGACTCACCTGAGTCGGAATCATTTTGTTGCCGTCTCTTTTGCTCTTTAAGCTTCTGTTTGGCCAGCCTCTCTTGCTCATCATCGCTAAAATCAAGTGCCTACATACACACAGAATAAAAACCAATCGGTGGAGAGGCTAAACCATCACTTATTAACAGATAATACTGATGGCATACTATTAGGGCAGGATATCACTCTATTCAGTAGAGTTTAAGCATTTGTTGACCTGATTTCCTAAATAATTTTTACAAAAAGGGCACATTTACCTCAGGGGGTGGTTCCTGGTCATTTTTCCAGGATGCATCTGAGCCTTTGGTCCTTGTTTGAGAGAAATAAATTGTAAATGTTTTTCGGAAAAATACCATAGTAGAACAGCACTGAAGATAAGCGTATTTCAATAACATTGAGGCACACCCAAGTTTTCTTTAAAAGGGGTCATATGATGCGATTTCAAGTTTTCCTTTCTCTTTGGAGTGTTACAAGCTGTTTGTGCATAGATAAGATCCCTAAAGTTGCAAAGACTAAAGTCTCAAACCCAAAGAGATATTCTTTATAAAAGTTAAGACTGGTCCACGCCCTCCTAAAACGGCTCGTTCAAACACGCCCCCACATGTCTACGTCACGATGTGGGAAGATTTGCATAACGCCGCCCAAATGTTCACGCAAAGAAAGAAGGCGTAACTTTATTGTTGTCGTCCGCCATAGTGTGAAGACGTTGTGTGTTTCGTTGCGAAAGCGAAAATACTTTGTTTGGTCTTCCAAAAGAGGACACAACTAGAAATCAGTGGTTAAGTTGTATTTACAACACTGTTCCAGAACAGTTCAACCCAAATATTCAGATGTGTGCTGCGCATTTTATGGAGGACTGTTCCCTGATCCTGGGAGAGTAGACTACAATGCCGGCTGTTCTGACTCACAGACTGTAAGTACATTTTCATATTTAAAGAATTTGCCACCGACGATTCAAACGTGAGTTTTGAGCAGTGTAGAGTAGCGCTTGTTGTTTGGTGTTTCTCCGATCACAAATGCAGACATGGTTTTATGTTTACGCGGCGAGATTCAACGCAACGTGTAAAAAGACGGTATAAGTCATTATAATCAGTAATTATGTCCCCTCTGGATGCAACAAATGCCTCGTTTATAATGGGTTTTATTGGTTTTGTCTTATCGCTCCGGGATACGGCATCACAGTATGATAAGGGGCGTAATATTTCCGTCACATGCTTGAGGTATTCAGCCAATCACAACATACTGGATAGCTGGCCAATCAGAGCACACCTCGCTTTTCAGACCGATGAGCTTTGTAAAAAATCGACGCGTTTCAGAAAGGTGGGGCATAGAGGAGAAATAGTAATATACAGTATGTGGAAAATAATGTGTTTTTTGAACCTTAAACCACAAACATTTCATTAAACTAAATACACAAAATAATGTTCTTTTTAGTAACATCTGACCCCTTTAATAATGAGGTGCTCACCTTTGGAGTCGCTCTGTAAAGATGTAGTCTGTGAAATCTTTAATTTTGGGGGCAAAATAAACCACATCTCGAATTTTAAGATCTTTCTGGTCGATATCGTCATGGGAGTTGAACCTCAAAGCATAGTAAGGCTGACAAACTGGCCCGAAGACTTCAAAGATCTGAGGAGAAACCAACAACATTTTAGTCCCACAAAACTACAGATTATAGCACAATATGAAAAGTCTTGGACAAGAAGTCATAGTGTATATCGCCACCTTAAAGACATGTTATAGATTGTTACAAAAGTTTGGAAAAATAAAACATTGTTACTGACCTTGCCAACAGAGTTTCTGTTTTTGGTGAATAACACGCTGTTTTCATGCAGTGGTGGTGTGTTCCTGTATGACTCCACAATCACTAAATAAAATCAATCAGTTTTGTATGAAATGTCCTCTAAATTCAGCCAAGACTAAACTTGCATGGTGTCTCTCAGCTAAGATGTAAAAACGAGTTGACAAATATTGGTCTTGTTAAATAATCAATTCTAGCTGATGAATATAAAATAGCTATTTGATTTACATATACATTTTCAAGAACCAAATCAGCATATTAGAATGGTTTCTGAAGGATCATGTAACACTGAAGACTGGAGCAATGATGCTGAAAATTCAGCATTGCTTCACAGGAATAAATTACATTTTAAAATGTATTAACACAAAATATAGCAATAATATTTGACAATATTAATTTGTACTGTATTTTTAATCAAATAAATGCAGTCTTGGTAAGCATAAGAGACATCTTTCAAAAACATTAACCTCAAAATCTTGAACGGCAGTAAATGCATGCTTAGAGTTTGGCAGATGCCTGTATACCTAATTGCTCCACAATGCTTGATATTGTCCCAATGGGCTCCAACTCTGTATCTTCTGGAAGGCTGATGAAGAGGTTCTCAACTACAGGAAGATCCTACACACACAGAAGATACCTTACAAATCATGCTCTTTTATGCCTGGTATTAACATCAGTCTTGATTGATTTGATCACAAGTGGACAGCTAAGGAAATTGAGAAATTTTGCCAACAGAAACATCATTTCGGTTTATAGATTGCCGGTTAGCTCCTCCCCTCACATCGATAAGCAGCTCATCTTGGGTTTTCAATGGTGCAGGCCTTTTCTCATTGCCCATGGCAACACCTTCATCGTCATCTTCTGCGTTGTTCTTGACTAAATTAAAAGGCTCAGAGGAGGAAGAGGTTGAGGATGATGAAGAGGAGGATGTGGAGGACGAAGAGTCTGAGTCACTGGATCATATAAAAATAATAAGAAATAATCATTAAATAATCAATCGGACTAGTTTTTTTAAACATTCTTTATGTACATAATGATAAAATTATGATCTATGAGCTTAGCAAGATGCTGCTAGGGCAGAAGGAGGTTCTTAACTGGTGATATCAAAGCACAGACTTTAATGTCCTATTATTTTACCTGTCTGAACAGTTGTCATCCGAGCTGTTTTCTTTGTACTGCATGCTCAGCAGACCTAACGATCCAGTCCCAGAGTGTGGACTAACCAGAGTTCCACACTGCGTCTCTGCAGGTCCAGTCTGAATGCTGGAGATCTGATCCAATGTTTGTTCAGACTGAATAATGAAGATCTGATCTCCTGCCAGTCCAGACTGATCGCTGGTTAAATGTTCTCCTGTTGGCCCAAATTGACCACTGGAGCTCTGATCTCCAGTTTGTTCAGAATGAGTGCTGGTGCAGTGATCTTCTGTCAGTCCAGATGAACCACCAGTGCTCTGATCTCCTGTCTCTTCAGACTGATCATTGGTGAATGCTTCTGCTGTTGGTCCAAGTTGACCACTGGAGCTCTGTTCTCCTGTCAGTCCAGACTGATCAGTAGTGAAAGGTTCTGCTGTTGGTCCAAGTTGACCACTGGAGCTCTGTTCTCCTGTCAGTCCAGACTGATCAGTAGTGAAAGGTTCTGCTGTTGGTCCAAGTTGACCACTGGAGCTCTGTTCTCCTGTCAGTCCAGACTGATCAGTAGTGAAAAGTTCTGCTGTTGGTCCAAGTTGACCACTGGAGCTCTGTTCTCCTGTCAGTCCAGACTGATCAGTAGTGAAAAGTTCTGCTGTTGGTCCAAGTTGACCACTGGAGCTCTGTTCTCCTGTCAGTCCAGACTGATCAGTAGTGAAAAGTTCTGCTGTTGGTCCAAGTTGACCACTGGAGCTCTGTTCTCCTGTCAGTCCAGACTGATCAGTAGTGAAAAGTTCTGCTGTTGGTCCAAGTTGACCACTGGAGCTCTGTTCTCCTGTCAGTCCAGACTGATCAGTAGTGAAAAGTTCTGCTGTTGGTCCAAGTTGACCACTGGAGCTCTGTTCTCCTGTCAGTCCAGACTGATCAGTAGTGAAAAGTTCTGCTGTTGGTCCAAGTTGACCACTGGAGCTCTGTTCTCCTGTCAGTCCAGACTGATCAGTAGTGAAAAGTTCTGCTGTTGGTCCAAGTTGACCACTGGAGCTCTGTTCTCCTGTCAGTCCAGACTGATCAGTAGTGAAAAGTTCTGCTGTTGGTCCAAGTTGACCACTGGAGCTCTGTTCTCCTGTCAGTCCAGACTGATCAGTAGTGAAAAGTTCTGCTGTTGGTCCAAGTTGACCACTGGAGCTCTGTTCTCCTGTCAGTCCAGACTGATCAGTAGTGAAAAGTTCTGCTGTTGGTCCAAGTTGACCACTGGAGCTCTGTTCTCCTGTCAGTCCAGACTGATCAGTAGTGAAAAGTTCTGCTGTTGGTCCAAGTTGACCACTGGAGCTCTGTTCTCCTGTCAGTCCAGACTGATCAGTAGTGAAAAGTTCTGCTGTTGGTCCAAGTTGACCACTGGAGCTCTGTTCTCCTGTCAGTCCAGACTGATCAGTAGTGAAAAGTTCTGCTGTTGGTCCAAGTTGACCACTGGAGCTCTGTTCTCCTGTCAGTCCAGACTGATCAGTAGTGAAAAGTTCTGCTGTTGGTCCAAGTTGACCACTGGAGCTCTGTTCTCCTGTCAGTCCAGACTGATCAGTAGTGAAAAGTTCTGCTGTTGGTCCAAGTTGACCACTGGAGCTCTGTTCTCCTGTCAGTCCAGACTGATCAGTAGTGAAAAGTTCTGCTGTTGGTCCAAGTTGACCACTGGAGCTCTGTTCTCCTGTCAGTCCAGACTGATCAGTAGTGAAAAGTTCTGCTGTTGGTCCAAGTTGACCACTGGAGCTCTGTTCTCCTGTCAGTCCAGACTGATCAGTAGTGAAAAGTTCTGCTGTTGGTCCAAGTTGACCACTGGAGCTCTGTTCTCCTGTCAGTCCAGACTGATCAGTAGTGAAAAGTTCTGCTGTTGGTCCAAGTTGACCACTGGAGCTCTGTTCTCCTGTCAGTCCAGACTGATCAGTAGTGAAAAGTTCTGCTGTTGGTCCAAGTTGACCACTGGAGCTCTGTTCTCCTGTCAGTCCAGACTGATCAGTAGTGAAAAGTTCTGCTGTTGGTCCAAGTTGACCACTGGAGCTCTGTTCTCCTGTCAGTCCAGACTGATCAGTAGTGAAAAGTTCTGCTGTTGGTCCAAGTTGACCACTGGAGCTCTGTTCTCCTGTCAGTCCAGACTGATCAGTAGTGAAAAGTTCTGCTGTTGGTCCAAGTTGACCACTGGAGCTCTGTTCTCCTGTCAGTCCAGACTGATCAGTAGTGAAAAGTTCTGCTGTTGGTCCAAGTTGACCACTGGAGCTCTGTTCTCCTGTCAGTCCAGACTGATCAGTAGTGAAAAGTTCTGCTGTTGGTCCAAGTTGACCACTGGAGCTCTGTTCTCCTGTCAGTCCAGACTGATCAGTAGTGAAAAGTTCTGCTGTTGGTCCAAGTTGACCACTGGAGCTCTGTTCTCCTGTCAGTCCAGACTGATCAGTAGTGAAAAGTTCTGCTGTTGGTCCAAGTTGACCACTGGAGCTCTGTTCTCCTGTCAGTCCAGACTGATCAGTAGTGAAAAGTTCTGCTGTTGGTCCAAGTTGACCACTGGAGCTCTGTTCTCCTGTCAGTCCAGACTGATCAGTAGTGAAAGGTTCTGCTGTTGGTCCAAGTTGACCACTGGAGCTCTGTTCTCCTGTCAGTCCAGACTGATCAGTAGTGAAAGGTTCTGCTGTTGGTCCAAGTTGACCACTGGAGCTCTGTTCTCCTGTCAGTCCAGACTGATCAGTAGTGAAAGGTTCTGCTGTTGGTTCAAGTTGACCACTGGAGCTCTGATCTCCTAGCTGTTCAGACTGACCACTGGTGCATGGCTTATCTGTTGGTCCAAGTTCAGGACAAAAGCTCTGATCACCGGTCATTTTAGTCTGAAACGTATTATTAATATCCAATTCCATTTTCTCTTTTTCAGATTCTTGATCTTGATTCTGTAAAAAAAAAAAAAAAAAAAAAAAAGATTGTAACAATTAAACAACAATGCTTGTAACAATGAAAAAACAAGATTGTAACAGTTAATACAAAATACAACACAAATGTTACTGTGATCTAAGATAACAATGCAAAAGTAGAAGAACTCCATGAAGTAAGATTACACTTGTAGATTGTGGGTGCACGTGTCAAACCTACATTTCTTATATTTAAATTGATTTAAACGTCTGCCGCTTTTTTGACTATGCCTTTAACTTCTGATATCATATGCTTTTATGTTTATGCTTTTTAAAATGGCTTGAGCCCTGACTGAAAGCACTTTATTTAAATAATTAGGCAAATATATTATCGTTGTTTTGTTTGTATTATAACGCGGTAAACTACATAATAAGGTCACGTGATATCAACACATGCAGGGAGCGACCCGCTACACGTCGAATAAAACAGCCTCATTCTAGAAAGAAGACCTATGTCAGTTCTTCTTCTAACATAAGTGTACATCATGTAAAATGATATGTCTCATAAGTGCGGTTCATTGCTTTATGCGTGATACTTTTTTACTACCAAAAAAAAATACCGAGGGGCCCTTTAAGTAATCAGAATGCAAGATTAAAGTAGCCGAGGAGGGTGGCAGTAATGCCGTGTCTTGCAATCCAATTTACCAATCAACATTAGACATTTCATTCTCTCAGTGTGAGCTGTATTATCCACTACCAGTTCATAATTGTGACCTAACTGCTGTGCAGGGTTGAAGCACATGCGCAAATATTGATAATTCACGTTTAAAGTATACATTTACACTTTTCTAACAGTTAGTAGGAATTCAGATCGTACCAAAAGTGCCTAAATGAATATGAACGATCACTACATACGTAAGGAATTAGAACATTCTTTACCTGCTTCTCTGTGCTTGAATTCTCCATGTTTAGGTTTCCATGTGAAGACAGCGCTTCAAAAATGATTTTACGTAATTGGCGTCACAACAGCAGGAACTGTACGGAGCCTTTCAAAATAAAAGTACCAATCGTCAGTGTCAAAATAATAATAAAATGTTTTAAAATTGAGTACGCTAACACAACACTTGCGAAAGAGAAGCACACAGAAAAGCCACATAATTGTCCCTTCTTTTTAATTGTTTGCAAAGTTGAAATGCAATGTCAGTTTCTCATAAAACCGACCGAGGTAAGTTCCTGAAGCATCAGTATTAACCTGGACTGAAATCCTTAACATGTTGTAACACCACAAAAAAAAATCAACTCCTTCGAGCCGGATTCGAACCAGCGACCTAAGGATTTCAGTGCTCGACCTCTACAGTCCTCCGCTCTACCAACTGAGCTATCGAAGGCCTACAATATATCTGTTCAGACATGTGTTAGGTTATTGTACATTATTATTATATTTAAAATGTTTACAATATGTACGTAGTATATTTAAATATTACTATTTACATGCTTATTTAAAACCGCTGGTTGCGAATAAACCGACGCAAATAAACGCTTTCCTTCCCGCGCTTAACCCACTACATGCCCTCCGCTCTACTGAGCTAAACTGAGCTATCTAAGGCCTGACGAGTTTTGAAATGCGCCAGTGATTGGCTTATCTGTCAACCAATCACAGCGGGAGATCTTTATGCAGAATAAGATTCAGTTTCTTTTGTTTCTTTTTTTTTATCATTCACTGCGAAAATTAAATGCTGGATTCACGTCACTATTACTATTCATATTAAATGTGAATATCAGATCTGAATTTGGCTTACAAAACATCATATACGGCTAGTGTAATGTTAATAAGTTACCAACAGATGGAGCTGTGTGTCTCTACATAAATCTTTGTTCATGTACGTTTAGAAAGCGCAGCTTAAAGAGATAGTTCACCCAAAAATGATTTTTAATTTTTTTAAATAAAATGTATTTGCACATCCATGTTACACAAAACCTGTATTAAAAAAAAGTAAAGACAGCGTTTAGAACAAGATGAGGGTGAGTAAATTATTGCATAATTATTTTTTGGGTTCATTTTTCTTTATGAATTACTATTAAACCACAAAACTTCTAATTATACTAAAGAGTACAATTATTCACCCCCTCGCCCAGTTTGACTGACACTTGAGTCATATTCCGATGTTCTGATGTTTTAATGAAGGATTAGGATGTTTATATGTTCTAATTTATAAATGAATATAGAAATCTTTGCAGTGACATTATTTTGAAAACATTCAAACAAAAAAAACAAAAATTACAATCCCCAAACTTTTGAACGGTAGAGCATTTTGTGCATACCTATTTATTAAGTGAATTTGTCAAAATGTAAAAATATGGACAATTATCTGATATCAACCAATACATTTTATATATATATATATATACACATACACACACATTACATTTTTATTCTTTTATGATATAGTTTTTGAGTTCATATAAAAATGTATTATTTATGAATAATATAATTATTATAAAAAATATAAATTATTTAATATACAATATAAAATTTATAAAATATGTGCATTATTTTTTTTCTAATATGTTAATATATAAATATATTGCAAACATTTATTGTTTTTACACAACTGGACCATTTAAAATTAACTAGTGAAGGCTAAAAATGTATTAAAAACTGGAGAAGAAAAACTACAATTTACACTTTACGTTATATATTCATATAAAAAAATTTTTTTTTAAAGTCTATGGATATGTCATGCATCAAATACCCAATTTTGCTAGGTGACAACATCAACTCGTTTCATTTATACAACCATAACTAAAGCTGAAAATGTAATTTAACCCAAAAACAGACCCGGGGCAGCCGATGAAGTATGAAGAATGTGTTCACAGACCTGTTCTCGCTCTCAGTGCTCTGGAACTGGCTGTAGAGCGTGCTGGTACTTGGTCGACCAGCTGCAGGTGTGGATGTGGCGCTGACCTCGCAGTCCAGTGCTAGGTTGATGGAGGAGCCGACCCCGCTCTCCTGCAGATACACACCCTGAGAGCGCCGCTGGTGACTCAGATTGGACGACATGAGCAGAGAGCTGGAGAAGGAGTGCTGGGGAAAGAGAAACAAAATATTAATACACCATCCCATTAGTAATTTGCAGATAAAGGTAAGGTGGTAATTAATATCTTACCCTGCTCTCTAGTCTGGACTCAACTCGTTGGGCTGTCTTAATCTTGTCCCATGTGTCCTTCCATTTTTCCGTAGGTTGTCCCAACTCAGTTTCCAGGTTCTGCACATCCTGAATTGATATATTAAAAAGATCATAAGGATTCATGTATGAAGAAAACAATTTCATTATAATGAGGACTTCTGCTTTATTCCTAACCTGCAAGAGTTTGGTGATGGCATCAGGCAGTACTTTACTGAGGCTGTCATAACAAGGCCAGACGATCCTCCGCTGGGACTTGGGGGCCGTCGTCTCCTGTCTATCACCGGCTTCCTCCTGTGGCTTTTCCGGCTGACCCCGCACTAATTCCCAGTCAAAGGACGGCCCCTCAGAAAGCGTTTCCTCTGTGTAAAAGTCCCAAACCTTCAAGTTGGAGATAAAACTGTAGGGCTTCAAGACCTACAAGACAAAAGAAAGGCAAGTTACAGACACTAACCAACAGAGAACACTAGAGTCATTTAGTCACATTTTGTTTCAGGTTACCTAAAGAACTATGCTCTGAAACTAAGAATGTTAGAACAAAATTAGAAAGTTACCTCCTCCTCCTCAGGTGAAAACATGTAGTTGTAGAACATGGGGGTCTTCTTGTTGAGCCGGTCAATGTAATCCCAGACAGACTTGCACACCTGAGGGTTCTTCCTCTCACCTTTTTCCTCATACAAGACACCTACACAGACAATACATTGGGATAGGGCCAAACAGGGTTTAATTATTGCATACTATAAATAAACACCATGAAACATCCTGTAAGGTATCACTTGACTTTCTACAGCATTACACAATGAGAACACAATAACATGAAAGAAGACTCAATCACAATCTCAATACGAGAGTCATGATGACAGTTAACATTATGCAGCATTTAATATGTTGGCGATTAATTTGTTGGTTGACGATTTAGACTCACCAAGCTCTATGCGCTCATAGTCTGAGTCCAGCAGGAAGGTGCGGAAGCGGTTGGAGACGTAGTGGTAGGCTAGGAACTTCAGATAGTACTGACTGAACTCAAACTCCATGGGGAACTGTAGATGGATCTATTGGGAAAATGTGCAGAGGGAAGAATATTGAAATATAACATCTATCAGATCTTAAGCTCTACAACAATTCATTATATTTTCTTGCATTAAACAGATTTTCAGGGTGAATTAGCTAGATAAGGCTTGTGCAATCCGGATGAGTTATAGTAAGGTATCTCATCTTCGAAGGTGTGGTCCGTTTAGAGTGACAAAGCAGGAAGTTGGAACAGGTTTATGTACATCAGCATGTATTAACAAGCTGCATTTCTGTACCTGCTCATACCATCACCAATCATATAAGGTTTATTTTTCCCTTTTCTTTGGACAAGACCTTCCTAGAAAGTGGTGATTGCTCTTTAACAACATCCAACAACAAAACAGAAATAGATTTAAACATATCCACTGAAAAACTGAATGAAGAATGCATGCAAACAAGCAAACCTTCCTGCATGCAATAATGCCATGCATTTGAGTGTTGCTCAAAAAAAAAAAACTAAAATACTTGCATACATCACGAACGCATTTGCATGCACATTTACTGATAGTGATTTCCCGACCAGTAGGTTGAGATTATTACCCGCTACCCTGGTCTCTGGCTGTTGACGCCGGCCCCTGGAAAAACTCATATCGGAGAGCCACCACTACACATACCTGGTGCACACAGTCAAGGAACTGTAGGAAGACAGGTGTAAATCCGCTGCTCTGGCTGGCTAGCGTCTGAGCTCCACGGTGGCTGAATCGATGACCGAATGACAACCACTCTTTCTCCACAAGCAGCCTGAAGCCATCAATCGTTCGGTAGTACGGATCCGACAGAAGTTGCACCAGGGACACAACCTATATCCAACACAGCATTAATGCACACATGGACAAATATCAGACGGAGCTCATGCATGTTTAGGTGTTTGTCTTACCTGTGTTGTGACATCCCAGCCATCTTCCAAACTAACCATGACGGAGGAACCAGTGTCCAGGAGTTCCACAACAAGAACGGACACCTGTAGAACCCTGTGAAGCTATGGGACACAAACCATAATAAACATCAAGAATATTAAAAACTGTAGCACAAACTGACCAACACACTGTATTTTTAAGTGTTAATTCAACCCAATTAAAAGGGGAAATGTAAGGTACCAGATTCATCCACTCCGACTCCTCCAGGCAGCGGTGAAAGGTCATGTTTGGTTCAGTGTTGGATGAGGAAGGCACACAGGCTTTCATCAGCTTCTTGAAACTGTTCTTGACCTGCCGTACATCAAAGACCTCGATGGGCACCACCTCCCACTGCTGGAAGGAGTCCTGCTTTCCACCCTGAACACAACAACAAGAGGGCTTAGCTTGAGCACCCACAATTCAATACTGCAATTAATATGTTTAATTAAATCTAGAATCTAGGACATCTGTATAGTAGGAAACAATTTGTAAACATGATGCTGGCAGGAGTGGAAAGAACTTAATATTGTTATTATTAATAATAAATTTAGTTCTTTAAATTAATAATGACTTAAATTAAAATAAAAACATAAAATTATTATTATTAGCAGCGGTATAATAATTATACATATTTATTGATTTAAATAAAATGATCATCATTATTACTATTATTATCTCACTAAATGCCAAAATTACAGAAAGGAATTGCATGTTTATTTTAATTTCTTGAAAATCACATAATATTGCAATACAAGTTGTCATAAGTTACTTTATACATGGAATCATATTCACATGAAAGTTTAAGTATTTAAGCTAATAACCTTGAGCTGGGACTTGTCTCCAATGATGTAGAGGTACGCTCTCTGTTGGCGAAGGAAATAGGTCTCGGATGGGCCTCCATTAGCCTGGGGGGATTCTTTCCCAGCCAGCCTGTTCCCCACATCAGGGTTATATGTGCTGAGCCGCCCACTACCACGAATACTGCCCCACTTTCCTGGGAAAAAACAAAGACCAATGGAGATCATTCACTGATGGAGAACGGGCAATTGATTCTGCTTTGTGGAATCATTTGTGTGTGAATTTGCATGTTTATTTGGGGATTGGTGTAGAGAATTTGTGATTTCTACAAGCACATTATAGACAAATAGGACAATGACTATTTGGTGGATCACATGCAAAGAGATGGTCATCACATCCTCACAAACAATACAAATAAATCAAACAGACATGATGGTCAATGATTAGTTAGCACATGAAAGAGGATGACAACACTACATGGACACTTAGTGCTCAAACTCACTAGCGTTGTTGTCGAGAAATTTGTTTGGTTAGATTTGAGAGCAGGGGCGGGCCTACTGTACCTCTAGGTGAGTTGCGGGCCTTGACTGAAACTCTAGGCTGAGAGAGGGAGATGACCCTTGCCCTCTGACCCAGCGCTAAGGTCAGATGACATAAAAATGCCCATTACTATCAGCAAACAAAAATGGGCAGCTATTTCAGCCAAATAAATTAACATTAGCATAAGCCAATGCAAAAATGCACACGACTTCCTCCGTCATGAGGGACTGGATGTCAAAAATTCTATTTGAATAAAGAACTTATAAATGATTGGGAACAGAGGAATGGATGGTGGGTTAAGTCGCAAGCATATTAAAAACACACTCTCACCTCCTCGACTGAAGGTTCCTGGCGTGTCCTCTTTAGTCCCCATGACTTGTTTCATTAAAGCTCCTATTTTAGGCTGCCTCAGCTTGTCTGATGAGTCTGAGGCCCAAAAATAACACGCATTACACATTAGGGGGTAAATATCACAAGTGAATTGTTAAGGTACATCTAATTATGTGACATGGTCACTATTGTTAGGGCTGAGTAAGGTTAGGGTTAAAGGTTAGAGTCAGGGTCTGACCTGAGTTGCTCATGTGTGAAGAGGTGAAGCCGCTGAGTGTGTTCCTCCCACTGGCTTCGCTGTATGAGGGCATGGAGCTGATGATGGCCTGCAGATACTTCTCTTGTTCCAGACTGGTGGAGTCGGCCTGGGACGGGCCTGAAACCAAACACAAACATGTTTACTTTTAGTTTTATACCAAAAATATGCTCTGGTTGATCTCGTCCTATTCTAATCTGCTTTAAGTGGCCTAGTGGTTAGAGAGCTCGGCTTAAGTTTGAATGTATAAAAGTGTCTGCAAAAAGCAGATATAATAAATAGATATAATATATTTACCAGTGTTGTTACAGTTAACGAAAACGAAATAAAGCTGAAATATAAAATGAAATATTCTATGAAAAACTTAAAATTCAGTGTAACTACTAAAATTACTAAAACAAATAAAAAAGCACATTACACAATTACTAAAACTTAGACTGAAATGAAAATAAAAACAGAAAATATAAAAGTATAACCCAATTCAAAGTATTAATAAATATATTTATTGAAAAATATAATAAAATATAGTGTATATTTATGTAATAATTTAAAATATATAATTATTTATTTAAAAACATTTCTATATAAGAGAATAGCTGCTTTAATCTCTCTTTTTTAATGCTTCTGGCTCTGACCTGCAGTGGGTGCATTTGGGGATTTGAAGAATCCCACGACGCCTTTAGCATGCAGGCCGGCCGAGCGCAGCAGCACAGCTTTGGTGCGGGAGTTCCTCCAGCACACCACAGGGAAGCGGTTGTGCCGGTAGCAGCGGCAGATGCGCTGGATGGTAGAATCGGGGATGCTCTGAGGCACGATCAGTAACCCTGGATAACTGAAACACACAAACAGACAGGCAATGATATTTGGGTATAACTGTTATGCTAATGATATGGTTTAGCATTGTTTGAATTTTTGTTTCGGAGAACTCACCTTCGGCAGACTGTGTACATCCGGTTGACGGTGGAGATCCGGAAGGGTTCGTTTTTAGAGCGTGTCAGGCTGTTGCTGAGCGTTCCCAGTCCCAGCCGCTGGTAGTCCCGACAGCAGGCCCGCTCGACCACATTACTCATGGTTTGCCGGTCTGACGAGCGGATGGTGGAGGAGAGCGTCAGCGAACTCTGGTCCGGTTCTTCAGACACTGCTCAATCAGAGAAGTTGCATTATATTATATTATATAATCACATATTAGCCATCGCAAACATCAGTCTATCAGTTGTAAATGTATGTGTTTTTGCGTTTTTCTTACCAGAGATCTCATCCTCATCCATCTCTGACTGCAAACTGCTGCGGTTTTCCCAGGTCGGGGGAGAATACTTCTTTCGGGTTACATATTGACGCCCAATGGTCCTCTTCGCGGTTTTAACCAGGTTTTTAGACAGCGTTCTAGAAGAAACAGCAGCTCAAACATTTTAATCACTTAACAAAAAAATCAGATTTAAGTCATGTTTAGGACTTTTTAGAGAGAGACAATTTCTTAATTTTTACATTTGTATATATACACATACGTTATTACTTTAAAAATAATTTTTTTTATATATATTCATACGCTTTTTAGATTTAAAGACAAAAATATATACATATAAACATTTGTATATAAATATTTAAATATATAATAATAATCTCAATTTGAATATTCGGGACAAATATAAAAATTATTTAAAAAAATGTAATAATAAAGTGTTTTATAATAAAACAATTCACATATACCAAAGTGAATCATGTTTGTTTATAAATATCAAGCACTTTCCAAGCCTAGAGCGAAGACTTGCCATTTAAATACATATCATGTCTGAGCTGTTGTCATGGTGAATTTTTCAAAAATATTAAAAGCTGCTCAAAAATGTTTGGGGATGATCGGTCCTGCCCTCAAGAGCGTCGCAGAACTGAACCGCATGAGTTTGCCATGACACCCATTTGCTGCTAATGCAGGATCTCAACAAAAGAGCCTTGCAATTTCCACTGCTGAATAATTCATGGCTTGCCACATGATATTTCTTATCCTCTCTCGCTCTCTCTCGGTTTTTAACCAGTGCTACTGGGACACATGATCCAAACAGGAAGAGGCTGGATCGAGAAAGAAGTTGCAAGTGTGTGTGAGAGAAAGAGGGTGGAAATACAGAAATGGTCTACTGAGAGCCGTGTCTCACAAACTCTGACAAACACATCTGCACATTTAAAGGGGAAGATCCCTCCCCCTAGACCAGCATCCAACCGGTTCTTACTTTAGCGACTGGTTCTTGTCCTTGGTCTTGTGCTCCACCACCAGCTTTGCAGACTGACCCACGGTGAAGGCAAACATGCCCTGGACGTGCTGTGGGTATCTGAGCTTATGCATGTGCTTCCTGAACACTTCTGCGAGATCTGATGCCACCTCCTCATCAAAGCCGATCTTCATCAGCTACAAGAGAGAACAAAATGTAATAACTGGTAAAGAGTAAAGGCTTGATCAATGCTTCTAAACCACAAATAAAAATATTAATATTTTAATAAAATAAATATTTGCAAGCATTTCTTTTGCACCAAAACCCATCACACCAAGTCAAATTGAGTTTTTGTTTTTTGTTTTTTTTTTGGAATCCAAACAATCCTTAATATCCATTTAAAATAAAATTCATTAATTAATTCACTTATAATTAAATTAATAATACATACATAATTAACTGAATGGAAAGCATTCTTGTTCTTTATGTATCGTGAGTAATGGAGCAACAGGAAACAAAGAAAGATCAGACGACCCAATACCTGAAAGGTGCAGGAACGCAGCTGGAGAACCTCCTGGAAGAACTGATCCATGGGAAGATTAACAGAGATCCGCTTCTCTTTCGTGAGGGAAGCGATGGGGAAGGAGCGGGTGACCACTTGCTCGCCAACTGCACAATACAAACATGCATGGCAAAATTTATCGCACCTACAAAAAGGCTTTTTGTGTAAAAGGCACATTGATTTTCATTTTCAATTTCAAAGCGTGAGCACAGAGTCAAGCTAGTGAGAAAATTGCTTCAGACAAGCAGGAAATTTCTATAATTCATGACCACCAGCATCCCAGAGACTTTACTAAAGTGAGCTGCTCTGAACTAATTATGAAAATCGACCCCAGTGTGAAGCTCGACTTAACCAATAGGAGCGTACCTAGAGGGTCGGTGGGCGTGCCCTTGAAGATGAGGCGGTAGGTAGTGAGGTATATGGCTCCCTCGGCAGGTAACAGAGGCGGACCGCCCATCGCGCCCGTGGCTTCCTCTCGGCCGTCTGCTATAAGGTGCACCCGCATGCCGTCCATCACAAACTCCTCACCGGGGAGCAGCGTTGGTCTCAAAAGCTTGGGCTGGAGTCAGAGAGACCGAAAGAGAAAAATAAAGAGGAAACAGGGAGACAGGGAAGTCAGTATATCTCATGTGTGAGTTACTCAAGTATGAAATTCATACCACACTTCATTGCAAACATGCAGAATGCTTCAAGAGATCAAGAACTGGAGGAATTGATCATTCAAATCACAAAAACACACAGCAAAGGTGCATTTCCTCTCGGTCAGTTTGACATTTCTTGAGCATATAAAGACACTTTTAGTCTAATGAACCAAATTCAACAGAAAGCTTCAGGTCAACATGAAACTGAATTTGCAATGTGATTTATTTCGGAGTAAAACAGGATATTCAATCACGTGTGACTGATTTTATCTATTGGGAACTGATTAGATCATGAAATGTGGGTGTTACATAAGAGATCACAAAGGTTATGCTTCGTTATCAAATTTATCATTATTTTTCTATCATTGCAAATTATATTAACAAAAACTGGATACAAATTACTATAATTTAATTAAATTGCTTAATGTACTTACCTAATTTTTTTTTATTAAATGACCCTTTTTATAAAATTACCTATTTTTAATTATATTACTTGTTATAAATATTTTAAATTAAATTACCATCATCTTTTAAACTTATTTTTTATTTAAATTGCCCATTTTGTATTTAATTGCTTCGTTTTTAAACTACAATATTTTAGAAAGACTGCATTAACAAAACCGTATATATAAACAGTATGTAATATTTTGACCAAAGATTATTAAATACAAACATTTTATATAACGTGCACTGAAGAATCATGCACAACAGGACAGTTTACATGCATTACTAAGTAAATAATTTTGATTTCATGTTGACTTGAAGCATGGGATACTTAGATAAGTGTATTTATCATTTGGATGTAAAACATTCTGTCCCACAGTTCTTCAAATTCAATTTCATATGTCCAGAAATACCAGAAGCAGCATTTTCATCTGGGAAAAATAGCCTGTTTATTCCACTGAGCATTTTTTCCCCAAATAAACAAATGCATTATGAGTCAAAAAAACAGTGAAGCCAGGCCAATTTCTCCATCTAGACCCAAATATTCTCTAGACGCTTATGAAAGAGCAAGTTTGATCACATCCAGTGCTGAGATTCTGAATGATTTACAGATCTCATGAGCATCTACCTCAATGAACAAAAATGTTCTCCCCTACTGTTCAATAAAAAGATGTGCAATACCACTTTTGTTTACTTAATACTACCCTACATCTTATTCCATTCATTTGGTCACGCCGCTCTCGTTGCACACTTTGTCAACAAAACGGTTGATGAACCGAATGACAGAGTTCGCAACATCCGAGCTCTCGGCATCTTCAAAGCCGCTCTCGGTGTCGTAGCTTTCTGCCATGCTGCCCGCAATACTGGACAAACAAAAAACTAAATTAGTGGTCATTTTTTTCATGTAATTTTTCTTGATTTTACTTTACTTTTTTATTTTATTATGTTATTTTATTTGTATGTTTTTGTGCTCACACACAGCAGCACATACCTGTTAGTGACGTAGCTGTTGCTGGCGCTCTCCACGTCTCCCAGGCCGGTGTTGCGGAGCAGGCGGTTCTTGCTGGTGTCGAGCGGCAGCAGCAGGTAACTCATGCGGTTGGCATAGTGGATGGCCTGACTGAAAACCGTGCTCTCTTCCTTCTGAACGCGCTCCTGCTGCTGCTCTTTGCTCAGCGTGGGCCACAGACGGCTCTGCTCAGACGCCAACTCCAGGGCGCTCAGCCGCTTCTGACCACCAACGCCCTCCCCATCCTGAAAGAAGCAAAGGTCAAAGGTCAAATGCAAGAGGTAGCTGCAAAAAATAAACAAACAAATAAATATTTTATACATTCTTTTTTACATAAAACAAATAACATACCGTTCAAAACATACTCTGTTCAAAAGTTTGGGGCAGATAAGATGTTTTAGAAAGAAGTCTCTTATGTTCATCATAGCTGCACTTATTCGATCAAAAATACAGTAAAAACAGTAATATTGTGAAATATTATTACAATTTAACTGTTTTCTATTTTAATATATTTTAAATGTCAAAGCTGAATTTTCAGCATCATTACTCCAGTGTTCAGTGTCACATGATCCTTCAGAAATCATTCTAATATGCTGATTTGCTGCTCGAGAAACATTTCTTATTATTGTATTGCAAGTTAAAAATAATTTATTTGAAATATGAATTTTCTGTAACATTATAAATGTCTGTCACTTTTGATCAATTTAATCCTTGCTGAAAAAAATCTTAATGAACTTTTGAATGATAGCGTAAAGTTTATTCAAATTTAAGGTAATATTTTAAAATAACTTTAATGAAAAACATGAATTAAATTTAATTAAAACTTACAGGGCTGGACGTGTCTCCCTCCTCATCGTTCTCCAGGTACAGCGCCCGGATGTGTTTCTGAACGTCACTGTAAAACATGGCCTCCCAGAACTGCATGTTTGTCCACACCATGTGCTCCTGAACGCAGCTGTAAGCGAACTGAGTGATGCCTCCACCCAGTTTCTGTAACACACACAAAACAGATGCTGTAAACTCACATGCTCAAGTCAGAGAAAAATCCACCTTTTATCCAGCACTTTTATTAGAACAGACATGCATTCATCACTCATAATTGAACTTCTCAAATAAGTAAAATATGTCCACTTAGCCAGTCATTATCACAAAACATGATGGGAACATTATCTCACTTATTATATGGCTAGCTACCAAATAAATAAATGTACATTAAATATTTATTTGAATTGAAATTATTTTATTTAAGCTCCAATTAGCTTAAAGCTAAGCAACAACCCCAATACTGCAACATAATAAAATTTTATTTATATATATGTGTGTGTGTGTGTGTGTGTGTGTGTGTTTTTTACATTATTAATCTGCAATCCTAGCTACTTTTTCTATGAACTAGTTAGTTAACATATTTAGTTGCAAGCAATATAACAAGTCCTCCTCTATTTGAGGTTCTCTCTCTTCTTCATCTTCTTGTCTCTTACTGATTCCCCGTTCTTCTAGGAAATGCTGCTGATGTCTTACTTTAACTTAACTCTTGCGCTTCTAGAAAAACAAAATATAGTACACCTACAAATACTCATTCACATCTTCACTCACCCGACAGAAGGCGGTGACCAATGGCAGCAGTGCAGAAGCAATACCATGTTCATCCATATGTGAGCAGTCCTGAAGATAAAAATAGAAGCAGATTTCATACACAGATCAAAACACTTGAATAACACAATTTATGGAGGTAAATGATGATAACATAATCAACAACAATCATAAACGAAAACAAAACAACATATTTTCCCCTTCCTTATTGCAGCACTACAATCCGAGAAACACCGGTAAACACTCGGTATCTGATTCCTTGAAAGAAAACATTCCTGTGTTTTACCTGCAGGGTGCAGTTCATCATGCGGACGATGTAGTCAAACTGTTGGTCGTCTAGAACGGCCCTGTTCTGCAGCACATGCAGGTTGAGCTCCTGGGTCAGACAGACCCGCGCCGCCCGACCTTTCAGAGCCCGTAACACTGCCGGCATTAACTGCAGACACACACAAGTTAACACACACTCATATACACAAAAATAGACTAATCTGAGATCATAAATGCTTTAGCAGAAACAGACACCATAAATCTGGGTTATGTTTAACAGAAAAGCATAAAATGAGAGGTTCGTACCTTCTTGGATTCCAGCATCTTGTTGTCAAATATATATGTGATGCAGTTCCTGACCACCTCTAACCTCCTGGCACTGTTGGCCAGAACATTCCCGTTTCTGTCCACTATGTCAGCTAGAAGCCAGAGAGATCAAAACATCAAGACTGTGAATATCAGCACAAAGCTGTGCACACATCGGTTTGAGTATGACGAGTTTATTTGAATTATATATCTGAGCACTGGAGGTGATGTTTGCTACCCAGTGGAGGTCCGGATGGGACCATGCTCTTTAGTTCGGCCTTGACCACAGGCGGGGCGGTTTTGAGTTTTGCTGTTGCGTGGTCTATAAAGAGCTGCACGGAGACCTCGTCCAGGTGCGGGAAAGAGGTCTGTGGGAGCCGGGGCTGTGTGTTTTCAACTGTTCTCTGAACTCGGTGCATGCTTACTGCTGGGTATGGGTTTTCCTGTGAAAAAGTTAAATGAAAAATAAGACAAAATTAGAGACAAAATTACAATCACAATAATGAAAAATCGGGATGCACAGATATTTGCATACATTTTCTTGTATTATTAATACAAGAAAACTATAATGTACTATAATATAATTTAATATATGCATTCATTTTTTATTTTTTAAATAATAGCGCTAAATATCAAATAAGTTTAAAGCAAAACATTAAAATTTTAAAACAATCAGTGCAAATGTTGCAAATAAATTTAGGCATCACAACATTGTAATCTACCTATGGAAAATACATTTTTCTTTTGAGATTTGCTCAAAATTACATTATTAAATTATTATTGTTTTCCGAGATTAACATTACAGGAATAGTCTACACAACAAAGAAAATTCGGTCATTATTTACTCACCCACATGTCGTTCCAAACCCATTTGACTATTTTTTCTGCAGAAAATAATAGTAGATAATCTGAAGAATGTTGATTGGTTTCAGTTCCAATTGACTTCTATTGTATTTCTAGCCATAAAATAGAAGTCAATGGGAACCAAAACTCTTCAAAATGTCTTATTTTGTGTTTCACAGAAGCAAGCAAGCCATACATGTTTGGAACAACATGAGTAAATGACGACCGATTTTTATTTTTGGGTGAACCATCCCTTTAAGTGAGAGTTAGACAACAGGAAAAAACAACTGATTAATAACCTAAATTGTACTGATGTATAGTGCTGATATCACTAACTGCAAATATTCTTTATTTCAGTTCAAAATAAACGTATGCGTGAAAATAACAATAAAAAGTGCCAGCATCTGCACTTGTATTTTAAATACCCCTTTTTAGCCTCAATTTTGATGTGGAAAGGTTTTATTTTTAATGATGTGACAACATATCATGTGAGACAGCAGATGAGACACATGAATTAAACATACATTTTTGAAAAGGTGATCTGCCAGCTCCTTAATATGCTTCATCATTTTATGAGGATCTCCTGTCTCCTTTTGAATGCGCTCCACCTGATTGGCTATGAGCTACGGTGAACAGAAATAAGAGAGATAAGACCAGAAAGTTTGAAAAACACAAAAAAGAAGGCATCCTTCTCAAAGTTCTATTGGCTGTCAGCTATATCCATCCTACACTGGTGACTTACATCATCAAACAGGTCTGCGGCTCGGTATGGAGGACCCCGCTCAGAAACGAACCCAGCAAATGCCATGCCGTCCAGCACCTTCATCAGGAAGTCATCCTCAGCTAGTGCTCTCTGCCCCAAAAATGCAGCCTTGAGAGAAAACAACCAGCTTTATAAGTCTGTTTATGAGCATAATTTCACCATTTGTGTCTGAAATTGAATTTTAGGGCTCCTTAGTACCTTATGGAAGCATATGGCGGGCTCAGGGTGGATTCGAATTATATGCAGACACCATCGATAGCCCTGAAGCAGATGCGCGAAGAGCCACAGGAAGACAGCGCGGATCTCCTTGTCCTACAGCGCACACAAAACAACCACACCAGGGTCAATAAAAAAAACATTTACATTTCTAGATGTGATGTCAGATGCGGGCGATTACTCAAAGGAGGAGGAAAAGCCTATTTATACATGAGATTTACAAAGAATTGTACCTGAATTTTAAGTGTGGAAGGTTGAACGGAAGGTGGAGGAAACGCATGATCAGCCACTTCCAGCTCTGGATCAAGAACCTTCATCACACAAAACAAACATACATATTAAGATTACAGTACTTGATTGCCAGCTATATACATCTAGTCACTGATGCCGACAAATTTTCTTTTCTAGGAAAATTACCCAAGTAATCAATACAAATAATGACGAATGCAAATATTTGCTCTGACATCAATTCTTGATGAAAAACACACGAAATGAACTTTGGTCATATTTGGCTTCCGATACGATTATTTTGTTGCAAGTCAGAATGATTTTCAAAAACATGCTGAAGGAACAAAGGTAAATGTGAGTATTATTTATATAGTATTATAGTATTAATTAATGTTTTTAATTAGCTCATATTTTTTAGTTTTCATTTAAACTTTTAGATTTTAGCAATTTTGTTATGTGCTTTAACATTTGATTTTGTTTGTTTGTTTTTTAATATTTCTATTTAGCTTTAATTTATTTGGTAACACTTTACAATAAGGTTGCATTAGTTCATGTACTGTATTAACTAACAAACCATGAACAATACTTTTATTACAGTATTGATTAATCTTTGTTAATGTTAGTTAATGAAAATACAGTCTCTCATTGGTAGTTCATGTTAATTCACAGTGCATTAACTAATGTTAACAAGCACAAATTTTGATTTTAATAACACATTAGTAAATGTTTAAAATAACATTAACTAAGATTAATAAAAGTATTGATCATGCTTAATTCATGTTAACTAAAGTAGTAAGCTAATGAACGTTATTGTAAAGTGTTGCCATTTATTTCTATTTCAATTTTAGCAATTAATTAAAAAATGTTTTTTTAGGTTTTTCATCTAATATTTATATTTTATTAATTAACAAAAACAAACCATTTTTAATAGTTTTATTTTAATTCCTTTGGTTAACAATAACACACTGTCTGGATGTGGTGGATTTTCATATTTTGAATACAATATGAACGCAATTCATTTTTGTACTATTATAATAATTGAAAATTATCGTTATAGTCCAATATTTAATTCTGTAATGAATGCACTGAATTTTCATTGGTGCATCACACATTTTTACACCCCAACTAACAATGCCACCATTTTAAACCTCAAGTCATAAATCAGTTTAATGTGAGCCACAACACTTTAAAACACAATGCTCATTGTGTCCGTGACATGACAAAGCAATAAATCACACATCTTTTTTGTTTTTGCCACAAAAACCACTATTCATTTTTTGGTTTGGCTACATTTTTGTATTTAAACATTAAATATGTTCTGACTGACTGCGCTTGTCACTTCGTGCAGTAAATTGCTTTCAGTGACAACAGAAAAATGTGTGTAAAAGGTGCACATGTCTTTATTACTGCGATCAATCTCAAATTCCCACAAAAACATATCCGAATCTGGCTCGTCTGCGCACACGAGCGCTTCTGTAATTACAGAAAGCTGCCATCCGGAGCTGGAGCTAATAACACAACTCACTTAGCTAATTGAAAAGGTTCAGGATTAGGCACAGGACATAAACTAAAGATGGCAGTTGCCTACACAACTATCGGAAACATCTTTAACCTTTGGATAAAGAGCACTGAGGATCAGGAAAGAGAAAACAAAGAAACGCCACATTTACCAGGCAATTAAACAGATGAATTGGGTTTATCACTGAGGCATGGCCATTTGTTTTCTCAGCCATGATAATCATCTCTCTCCCTGAAGGGACGCGGTTATGTGAGCCCTGCTCGCTCAAACATGCATATGCAACCTCAACCTCTGCCACTTCTGCCGGGATGGTCTGTCTGCCTTGGCGCCACAGACGTTCATTATAGAGAGACAGCAGAGTGTCTGTGGGACTCTGGGCTTGTTTCCAGGGGGGCAAAATGTGAATGCCACACAGATGGACCTTTCTGTGCCAATTTAGATCTAATCTAAACAAACACAGACAGACAACCGGACACTTTTAGGTATGAGCACAGAACGGAAAACCCTATTCACTGTCATTTTCCTGAAAAGAAAAAAATAACTTCCTTGCAGAAAAGATCTAGGCATGAATGTGACTCATACATCATACCGTAAATGTAAAAGGAAGCTTGCAAATTGTTAACCTTAAACTGGAATAAATGTGATAATCCTACTTGGATTTGTTTATTGGTCAAAGCCTGAATCAAAGTGTGTTGAAGGGCAAAATTAAGAGAAAAATTTAATTGTAAATCAGCTGATATAACGAATAAAATAACAACAAAAAAATGGTACTGATTAGCCATACACAAATGAGCTGAATCATCACTGAACTGACTTTAGCTGGAGAAATGACTCTTTTTTTATATTACTGACTAGGCTTGCCGCGATAGACGGTGTTGACGGTGATACCGGTGTTAAGCCGCAACACCAGTTACGTCACTTGCCCACCGCGTCACCGACCCCCACCGTCGTTTAGATTTTTTATAGTAATAAAAATCATATAATTCAGTAAAAGAACAGACACTACAATTAAAAACTGAACGCGGTTGCTCAATGCAGCGTGCCGAACGACAGTCGCATCACAGATCAGATTTCATTTCTCCAGTGAGGAGAGTGAGTCGAGCTGACTGACAAGAAGAGTGAGGTGAGGTGAGGACAGACAAGACGATCGCGGATGATTTAGTTTCGAAACTAGATGCAAAAGCGCCAGTTTGGCAATATTTTGGATTTTGAAAAGCCTGTTGACTTTTGCCGTTTATCTAAGGTGATTTTGGAAGTTTTTTTAAACATTCGTTTCTTATTTAATTGGTTCCACATTGTTTGCTGATTTTTACTTTATTTAAACTGTCATTTATTTTATTTTATTTGACATTCGTTTTGCTAATAAACGTTATGTTTCTTATTTATTTGGTTATATATTATACATGTTTACTTATTTCCAGTTTTGTATACCTATTAAACTTTATGTAAGTTATTTTATATTAGGCATAGCTTGCCCGATAGCATGGTGTATTTTTATTTGTTTTGTTAATGAAAGTTCTATGTTTTATATATATGCTAAAGTGAGTTTGACGTTGTATTTTGTTGTTGCATTCAAGCAATTGACGCCGAACTGCCGCTAATTCAAAAGTGAAAGTAAAATGCGCGTGGCGCTTTTAAGCTATTTAAAAGCGAAGGAAAGCGAGGAAAAGAGGGAAAATTCAAACAAACTAAAAACGAACAATTGCTTTACTCTGAATTGCCGCTATTTGAAAGTTAAAGTAAAATGCGCACACTGCTTTTACAAGCTATTTAAAAGCGAAGGGAAGCGAGGAAAAGAGGGTACGCCACGCCACGCCCCCACGGTGATACCGGTATTACCGGTGTTGTCACATGTCGATTAACCGGTGGGAAAATTTCCTCACCGTCACAACCCTATTACTGACAAACTATTTTCCAGTTTGACACTGTAAAGCTGCTTTGACACTTGGCTTTACTTGACTTATCAGTCAAAATTAAAACATTTTTGCTAAACAAATATCACCTGTTGTTTTTTATACTGCCGAAAGTTGTAATAGGTATTTACGCTAACAATTACACCTACTAGACTGAATTTATAAGAATCAATAAATTACAAAAAAATTAAATGATTTAAATAATAATAATAATCTGGTTCTAATAAGGGATGCACAATATATTTGTATACATTTATTTATTTATTTTTGTTTATTTGTTGGTTGGTTGGTTGGTGTTGTAATTGTTGTTCTACTGATTTTTTAAAAGAAAATTTACAGTTTTTTATCTGTATATTTAAAAAAAATAATAATACATTATACAATTTAACACATTAAACAAAAATAAAAAAATATTCACTGATATCAGCTGATAGCCAGTGTGCATCACTACACAAAAAACTTTATCATGCTATTTCTGGTTGGGACAATGCGTAACAATTCCCTTTAAATATCATTATTTTGGATTAAGAAATTAGTAGTGAAGTGTTTTATGGATTCTTTTTTTCTTTATAAATTAAAACAATATAAAATATTGCCCTATAATTTCAACTACTTGAAACCACTATCAGTATTATACAAGCTGTCAGTAAAATCACTATCAGCACTATAATCTTACTCACAGTACAGTGAGTGTAACTTAAACAAGGAAGTAAGCGTGGTTAAGTAATGTGTGCCGAGAATCATTTAATTACTGCTGGCACAAAACCTCATTATGATAAATATTTATTTTGTGTGTGTGTTTTATAGCCCCAATCCATCCATAAATCCTGCAACACTTCCGCGGTCTGTGCTGCGGTTTGTCAAATTATCTTTAAAAACTTAATATCAACCATGACATCTTCATCTCTGCCAGTTATTACACAACCCAAGACTGGCATACACCCAACCTAACAGGTAAAATGGGTTACCATGGAGATGGCGGTCTGTGTGTGATGAAGAAGCGGCTCGGGCAGCAGGGATATGTGGACACACTCCGGAATGGTGACCGTCCCTCCGTCCAGGTCTGCAATGATTACATCGAGCTGTCAATAAAACACAGGCACATGGGTAAATATGGAGTGGACCCACATTGAACTTATTGTTCTATATGGGCAAATGCAGAAATATGCATAACATCATCTCATATTCAAAAACAGGAAACCGAGAGACTATTTTAGTCAAGACCAAACTGGTTAACTCTGATGCACATCAGACCCGATTCAACCTTTTCTGACAAAAAAAAAAAAAGAGAGAGAGTTCATGAATGAGACCTAACGTTCTTCGCAAGTGTCTTTTGTTTAAAATTCTGACTTAGGCCTGGGACACCCTAGACGATTTTCAAATCTTAAACGATTTTAAAACCATGGGAGACCACAGACATGAAGACAGTTCGACCCATTTTTAGCCTTATAATCCTCTGAACGCACACACTAGATGATTCGACCAGACCGCGAGACCACACACTTGATGATTGTAGGAACGATTTCACAGTGACACGTGATCTCACGGACACTCGCGAGATCAAACGTGACTAGAGAAGAAAAACAAATAAGAGGACAATCAACATTGTCAGCTGGCTCTCCTGGCACGCGTTCTGTTTCACAGTGAAAAACAAAGTATAAAAAAGAATATGGGTGATGTTCTCTGCTTTCATGGCATGTTTTGTGGCTGCCAGGTTTCAGCAATAGAAGCACGCAACATCCGGTAGGTCTTGCTCACTCTCATTGGCTAGGCAGCCCGATCAAGATCGGGAACAGATAAATAATCATAATGACACCACACCACACAATAGAGGGAGAGACAAAAAATCGTTTGCAACAAGACGCGAATCGGGCCACACCCCCCGATCTATCGGGGATGCAAATCGGCTTAAAATCGGCCTTAAAATCGTCTAGTGTGCAGCCAGCCTAAAGGAGTGTTCGGGTCCAAACAAACTGACCTCAGGTCAAGTATCATTCCCGAGTATCAAGTATCGTATCATCTGAACTCAAGTCATCGCATGTAAATGTTCAAGGAAGTTCGACTTTTCTTTGTAAACTAAGCTAACCAAGATAATGAAATGCCAATTATTACAGCATTTGGCAGCACAAAAAACAGAAGGTGATATTAGTTCAACAAGATAAACATCAGAAAAATGGGTCAGGAATTTCCCATTAAAAAGATTTTTAGAAACTGAAAGAAAATCTGGTAAAATGCAACCCTATCACATGACTTTTGATACAAATCTATGATAATTAAGCATTTATGTTAAATAAATTGTTTAGCCACAACCCCAAAAAAAAGTGTCAGAGGTCTGATGCTAAATCCAGATAACATAATGCAACCAAACATATAATCAGGCAGAATAGCTCAATGAATAGACTTGCTCACTTCTAAAAAAAGGACAAAAACTAGTTGACATGTACCGAGATAAAGCAAATCAGGTGTATGAGGGCACATCTGTTCTAGCATCTGATCCCATGTTGTGCATTGCATGGAACGCTGTATTTGGTTACACTTGTTTCTGCTTGCACCATATGCCACATATCTGATCAAACCTTATCTCAAAAGTCTAAATGTCCTGATGCGTGTTGCATTATGCTCTCCGGCTCATGGCATGAAATAAAAAAGACATCTCACCAGTTCCTGGGTCTCCGAGCGGAAGTGTGAGTTGACTCCTATGATGAAGGGCGTCGGAGTGCTGAGCACCTCCAGCAGCTTTCCCGGTAAGATGGGAACATATGTAAAACTGGAGAGGGGTAATAAAAACATGGAGGAGGTTAGGATGAATGGGAACAATAAATGGGAAAACAGAACTGGATGATCTCTCAAAAAATATGTTTTTTTAACAAGAAATAATAAAGGGGATGTAATAAGTCTTGATTTTAATTGATGTAATTTTTTTCCATTCTAATGCTTTCGTATTTAGTATCTTTATTTTAAAAGTAGACAACAATACACAACAATAATAATAATAATTATTGTTATTATTACAGTAACAATGGCAAATAAAATAACTATTTTTAAAATAATAAATGATAATATATTATAATAATAGTTAGTAGTAGTAGTAGTAGTGGTAGTAGTAGTAGTAATAACAATGAAAAAAAAAAGCAATATCAATAATAATAACTATTGCCATCTTTAATAATAACTCATTTTATAATAAATAATACTAATGTTGTTGTTATTAATAATAGCAATAATAATAATTATTTTTTATAATAAGAAACAACAACAATATTAAGTTGCTGTTATTAATATTAAAGTAACAATGACAAAATAATTATTGTTTTATAATAATAAATGATAATATATTATAATAGTTATTAGCAGTAGTAGTAGTAGTAATAACAATGAAAAAATAAAAAAATTAATAATCAGTATCATTCATAATAATTATCGTTATTAATAATAATAATAATAATAATAACTCATTGTATAATAATACATGATACTACTAATAATTATTATAATGGTTAATATTAATAACAATAAAAATTAATAATAACAATAACATAAATAATGTTGTTGTTGTTATTAATAATAATAATAATAATAATAATAATATCAATTATTATTTTTATAATAAGAAATAACAACAACATTAAGCTGCTGTTGTTATTTTTTAATTATTATTATATTATTATTATTAAATTGTTAATTATTATTCATTATTATAAAATCAACCAGGAATGTACATTTCACCTTTTATTTCAATTTATTCACAACTTTTTCAAAACCACCTATGGCAGGAAAAACAAGCAATCAGTATGAAGCAATCAAATTCTGCGTCAACATATGATCCCTCTTCACCTGTACTTGAGTGGGAACATGATGGCCAGCAGAGCTCTGCAGGCATCCGTTAGACGCTGGTAACTGCTGGAGAGGAACAGGATCTTGTGCTCCGTCAGAGCAGCGCAAAACAGACAGAGAACATTCACGATTCCTGCAAAGAAAGCGAGCGAGCGAGAGAGAGAGAGAGAGGTCAGCTGAGCCTAAAAATATCAGCCCCACTTCCTCTGTTATTTATTTAACAACACAAGGTGGAGATTACACCGACCACATCTGACACTTGACACCAACTGTTGCTGTTTTAATGAAGCTGATTTGCTGTTTAGCACCTAAGCCTGCTGCTGATTGGCTTACCAAGTTGTCTGAAAAGCTGGGCCACGCTGCAGCCGCTCACAGGCAGGGAGTCATTTATGGGCGTCTGGATAACCTGCCTGTCGCCCGCGCCGAGCGTTATGGTCCTCTGTTGAGACAGAAAGAAGAGTGAGAAAAGAAAGATACAGATAAAAAGGGAGGGGAAGAAAGGTTGGGAGATAAGAGAAAATGAGAATGAAAAACTCCATCTAACACCTCCACCACGGCATTATGGGAAAGATTAATGTGTGCGCGGCAGGCTGGTCAAGTGGTGAGCTAAAGACAGGAGGTTATTCAGAAGAAAAAAAGGAAATCAAAGCCATTCACCATTTGTAAAAAGCACCCAAGAGAAAACAAGTTTTTTTTTGGCATTTTCACATCTATTTCCTGTTATAAACAAGTCACCTTTAAAATCAATGCTTTTTTGTGAAAGTTACAGGTGGAAAAAGTTGAAATTATTCAGGTTGAGGATGAAAATTTGCTGTTAAGATCATCAAAAATAATCTCAGAATCACAAAATATTCATTTCCAGGACTATAAGGTGAATAATAAAATGATTTGCATTATAAATATAAGGTACAGTCATACAAAAATGACAAACATTGTCAAACATCTGCTGGAAATAATTAGGCAGTACACATTCATTAAGCCAGCAGGCATTCAGCAAAGGGAAATCATTCACATTATGCAGTTATAATTAGTCCAGAATCTTCCACGCAACCCAACATATACTGTTGTTTATGCCCATTTTAGGACAGTTAATTCAGGCAGAGGTGAGGTCAGTAAGTGTCAAGAAATCAGTCCTTTTAGAATAAGTCACATCAGTACAGGAAGTAAAGAGGCGGCTGTAAAATGACAGCGGGGTGTGATATCATCACTGCAAACAGCCACAGCACACAAGGGTTTAACAGCCTTGCATTAGAGCGCGTGCACGTTATGCACCCTCATAAAATGCTTGCTGTAATGAAACCTCATGACAGGCCCAATCCAAAGTGATAATGTATGGAAATGCACAGAAGCGTCATTTGCAATCATGCATTCATGATGATTAAGATAACCGCAATCACTGTGCACTTGAAATTCCCTTCCAAATATGGGAATTTTAAGTGAATATAGAAATGCCATGCAATGCGCATTTTTATCTCTCTTTACGGTGTGTCAGTGAGTCAGAATGAAGAACAAATTGGAAAACAAAATAATCTAAATTACCAACTAAACTAATTCTTTTTTGCAATATATAAAATAAAAATCAATTCCAAATATATATAATAGTTTTTACATTTTCATATATATTTTTATATATTTAATATGAATATTTGTAAATATATTTTTGTTTTAAACATTTTAATGTTTAAATATAATGTTTATATTATTCCTACTTTTTTAAACCCTATTTTATATAATATTTTTATCTTCTAACATTTTTAAAACTAAAAATAAATATTAATACAATTTATTTATTTGTTTAAACTATCAAAGGACTCATTTTCCTTAATGTACAGCTGTTAAAACAAAACAAAAAATCCAAAGGGGACAAAAAATACATTAAATTAATCAGCCTCACTAGTTTACCATCCTGGGCTGCATTTCCCAAAAGCATCGCAAGTCTAAATTAATCATTGAAGCTTAAAAGCCATTGGCATCCACAGTCTTTACGACCAACTTGAAGCTTGCAATGCTTCTGGCAAAACACAGCCCTGATGCCTTGCTAATAACTGTACATGTTAGTATGGTGTTTCCAGGCCTCCACAGCCTTGATCTTGAGCTAGTGCAGAAAAACTGTAGCACGTGCCTTTAACAGACACAAACATTTCCATACTAAGTTTTGATCAGTGATTAAACAACAACAGTTAGTCACATATTAATTTCTGTGATCTAATTGATTCCCCTGATGCTGAGTTTGTCTTTTGGTGGAGCAAAACAAAGGGGATAGCAAGACTGACAGTGAGAAAAAGAGCTGAACGAAATCAAACAGGGCGTACCGAGCTCTCCTCTCTGTCGTCCTGGCCCGGCTAGATTAGCACATACAGCAACACAAAACACAAACCATTAGACACACCAAAATTTAGAGACATTACAAGCTATATAAATAAAAAAAAGAGAAACAGCAAAAAGCAAACAAGGAAATACATGGCAAGATGCAAAATGACATGATGGTTGTGATGATAAAACAGCTGTCAGGGCAAAGGGTCAGAGGAATATGAAAATACGGCTGTCATATTAACAGGTAACACCCTCACTGAAACAGAAAGTGAGGCCTGGGAATTTCTGACTTGCGTAACAGTTTAGATATTACATTGATGACTTCTGGTATGGCCGTTTGATATGGATTATCTTGCAACTGGGAAAATAAACAGACGTGTTTTACTTGGCATTGCAGTCATGGGTCAGGGACAGTAAAACATGCCCTTCAGGAAGTCCAAAATAACCAATTCTCAGCACTGCTCCAGGGAAAAAAAATTATAATTCTCCCCCTTATGCACAGATAGATTTCTGACCAAGTCACACCTCACTCACCAATTCTACTGGCTTCCCAACATACAGATACATACTCGCCAAACGCCTTGTTTCAATGCTTTCGTAACTGGCTGAGACTTTTATTAAATCCAGGCATGTTTCATATTTTACAGATTGTGTTTTTAGCACTCTGTCAGGGAATCTGCATATTTAAGGGAAAGAAAGACTTTTAAATGTAAATTTAAACTTTACATTTAAAATTTAAAAACTTCAAACTTAAATTTAAGACCAACTAAGCAATAAATAAATAAATAATGCCATAAACATTAATATAATAAATAATTACATATTAAGTATTTTAAAACCAATTTTAAAGCCCAAATTATTGTGAGTAATGAATGGTGATTATGGCTAAACTTATAAATATAAATATTATAAATAAAAAGTCACCTCTTTTCCCCCCCAAGTCTTGCAATGATGTTTGGTATTTTTATATGGCTAAAAAGGTAATGTTTTTCTATCGAACCATAAAATGGCCTAAATTATTGCAAGTAGGTCATGAGATAAATCTTTAAATCAATAACTAAAATACAGCTAAAATATTTTTTTATATATTCAATAATATATATATATATATATATATATATATATATACAGTATATATAAAAAAAAAACTAATAAAAAAATGACAAAACACACAACAAAATGACTAAAACTTTCAAATTAAAATAATTAAAAAAATAAAACATTATTCAAACTGGTATTCAAAACTAGTCAGTGATACTAAAATAACACTGCCATTTATTAACATTAGTAAAATAATTAAAATGAAAACAATTAAATTTCAGGTAAGAGCAGAATAATCTTCAGGTGTCCCATTCTTTTTATCCAGTGAACTATTATAGATTTTGTCAATAGTTTGAATCATTTCATTTTAATTTGAATAATTTTTTTTTTATTTAATTTAATTTTAATTAACGTTTTAGTCATTTTATTGTGTATATATATATATATAATCTTTTTATATATTATATTTTAATTACATTTTTTATCTTTAAAATGCACAAACTGAAGAATGAGAATATAAAATAGGAAGATTATTTAGAATATTTTAAAAAGTTTCATGTATTAATATTTATTTATGATTATTAGAAACATCACATCTTTCTATTTCCAAATTTAATATTAATTAATTTACTTTTTTAAATATTTGAAAATATTTTTAAATATTCTTAAATTCTGGACAATGATTTTAAGACAACATTACTTTAATGACCTTGCAACAAAGAAACAAATATATATAGTTCTCATTATTATTTCATAAATAAATATAGTTCCATTTATTATTAATGACCAAAAAAATCTTCTGTTCTGTTATATTCTCAACTATAGAGTGTTAAAAAATTTAACATCTGCGTTTATCTGCATTTCATAAAAGCCTAAAACACAGCTAATTCAATCAGAAATTGTTTCAGAACAATCCATCATCATTTAAAAGGTCACAATCAACCTAATTTTCAAATTGAAAGCATTAATGTTACACACAAAACACTCCCTTTCCAATGCACACAAGATAAGAAAAACAATCAAGACAGCACTGAAGCTGTAGTATGTTGTTTTGCGTGTCATTCATACACGCTACAGTGTGCTTAGACACCATCTGCCACCATCCCAGCCCATATGTTCAGTCCACGCCAACTAGCCCCAGGACACAAACACCAGCCCCAAGCCTCTGTGTGTCAGCGCGCGCGTGTGTGTGTGTGTGTGCGCGCGCTTACGTGTTTATTTGTGCAGTGTCCCATAAAATAATCAATGAGCAGATGAAAAAAACTACCACCAAAAAAAATTTGATTGATGCATTTCAGGTGCAACTGATTGAAGCCAAACAATCAGAAAGAAATAAGGCGCATTCTTGATTCTCATGAGCAGCAGTGATTTCAAATGACTGAGAAAGGCAAAGCATAGATCGATTAATTGATCGATTGATTGATTGATTGATCGATTGATTGATTGATCGTCAGGCAGAATCACAAATGGGTTGATTGGTTGAAGCTGCTCAAAGGTAAATGTTACCTGGAAACAACCCAGCAGCCAGTCAGTTAAACTACAAAGAGGGGGGTCATTTATCTGGAACACAAGGGAGTCAGGCTTACACTTCAGGGGAGGGAATCATTTGGTTGTAACAAAAACTGCACGTCAACTTGAGAATATGAGAAGATGTGAGCATGTTATACAGAAACCAATCATACTTAAAGCGATGGTTCACTCAAAAATGAAATGGTCATTTTATTCCCCCGCAGGCTTGGTTTCATGGAACACAAAAGAGAAACTTTTATTTTTTATAATGAAGGTGAATGGGGATTTTACTGTCAAGCTCCAAAAACGAATGATTTTCAGAGAATAAATATAAAAATTTAGCTCCATCCTTGAATAAAGTGATCATATGACTTTAGAGGACTCAGAATATAGCGCAAGCGTCATATGATACTTTTATTGTTTTTTGAGTCATTTTAGAATTTGACAGGGTCCTTATAGTTAACTAACCCATTTGTTACAAACATTTTTTAACGTTACTTGAAATGAAATGCAATATAAAAAATATTTCAGCTAGTTGCCAAGGCAACAGTTATCGTTTTCATTTAGTTTAATTTGATATCTACAACGGAGATAAAAATGAATAAAAACTATTACTATTACTTTATAACTATTATAATATAAATAATAATAGTAGTAATAAAATAGTACTATAAAAACTAAATTAATATGGAAAATATAAAAATGAGCTGAAAATAGTAATAAAAAACAAAATTTTCTCATTGAACACTGCTTGATCACTGCTGCATAGAGTAGCCAGGATATTCTTCAAAATATTCTTTAAAAATATATATTTTTGTGTTTTACAAAAAAAAAAGATTCTTGGTTTGGAATGACATCAGGATGAGTAAATGATGACAGGGGTTTTTTTTGGTGAACTGTCCCTTTAAATCTTCACCTGATATGAGATTTAATCATTTCATTGCTCATTATAAACTAGGATTATCCTTATATGTTAAGCTTTCAGGGTCATCGTTCTGAGTCAGATGAGGGAACATATAAAGGTTAAGACTAGAGCATCTGCGTCTTCCATAACAGCGTAGATCTTCCACACTACCCATGTAGTGTCTTTAATCTCTGATAAAAGTCCCTTCAGAGAAAAACACTCATTTATCCATAGGTAATGAAGGTCTGTGTTGAAGAGAAGTCAAAAAACACTATATACAGACATTGTTTTATATTAAAACATAGTAGACTGTGTGCATTTCTCACCTGAGAGCCTCCAGCTAAAGGAATGATGCAGGTGAGAAGGTTTCCAATCACCGTTTCCATAGGAACAGTGAGGCCATCCACATGAACGGTATAGATGAGACTCAAGCAGTTCTGCAGAGTAAAGAGACACAAGATTGAGTTTAAATACAGGAAAATCTAATAACATCATACCTTTATTGCTATTTTGTTTTTTACATTTTATAGATTGAAATAGGACAGGAAATGATCAGAAGAGGGAAATGGTATTATGACAAACCACTCGAACCTGCATTTCCTGGCTCAACATGACTGGAACGTGTGTAAAACACTACATCCTGAAGGTGTTTATGCATTTATGCACACTTGCGCAAAATGTGTTTTTCTGTTTGACATCACAAAATCGGTGGATTTTAAAGGGGTCATGACATGAGAAATGAAATATGCCTTGATCTTTTGGCATATAAGGGGTCTATGTAACATTAAAACATCCTGCAAGTTTCATAGCTTAAAACGTCCTCCGCATTATAAACAAAGCATTTATTTAATCAAGCTTTAAAAATGGCTCGTTTGGATCCGAGGTGGCATGTGATGTCACAAGGGCACAAACATTTGCATATACACTGCCGCCAAGGCAAGACATCGACCAATAGTCATCATCTCACCATAGGCCACGCCCACTGGCGACACTTGCCTACACTAGATGCGAGCGTAGCATCACGTCAAGTCAAAAACAAATAGAACCCATTATAATAACTGCCGCTGTCTTGTCTAAACTGAAGACAGAATAATGCAGATGCGCGTTCACTTTCTGACATAGCCCACACGCTTGAGTCTGTCGACAATAGGACAAACGAAGGAGTGAAAGAAAGTTTGCTGTGACGTGTTTGGTTTAAAAAGTTCATTCACATCTCTGTATATGCAATGACATTAGCCAATCAAAACAGTGGCCGATTACAGACAAGCCTTAAAGGCCTCGCATTTTTAGACAGTGGTTGAGAATGAGGGTTAAAAAGAGTCATTTTTCCACATATATTGTTTTTTTTTGCAAAAAAACTTTATTAACATTATAAGTGAACCTCAAGGAACATATTAAAGTAATAAATAAAAAAAATCCATGTCATGACCCCTTTAATTTCACCAAGGTAACTGGCTAACACAGATGAGATTTTAACAAAATTATAAGAAATACTCAGTTGCACGAGTGGGTGTTGGGGGAAAAAAAAAAAAGTAATATTTAAATTTTCACTTTCTGACATAGCCCACACGCTTGAGTCTGTCGACAATAGGACAAACGAAGGAGTGAAAGAAAGTTTGCTGTGACGTGTTTGGTTTAAAAAGTTCATTCACATCTCTGTATATGCAATGACATTAGCCAATCAAAACAGTGGCCGATTACAGACAAGCCTTAAAGGCCTCGCATTTTTAGACAGTGGTTGAGAATGAGGGTTAAAAAGAGTAATTTTTCCACATATATTGTTTTTTTTTTGCAAAAAAACTTTATTAACATTATAAGTGAACCTCAAGGAACATATTAAAGTAATAAATAAAAAAAATCCATGTCATGACCCCTTTAATTTCACCAAGGTAACTGGCTAACACAGATGAGATTTTAACAAAATTATAAGAAATACTCAGTTGCACGAGTGGGTGTTGGGGAAAAAATAAAAAGTAATATTTAAATAAATTAATTAATAATATTTTGATAGTTTTGCCACTGTTTTCCAGCAAAATCATGTTTCAAATAGCTACTGCAAAGTTACAATTTAAATGTACAATTTCCAGATATTGCTATAAAACTTTAATTAAATGTAATTTTATTAATTCATTTTTTTTGTTTTTTTTTGTTATTTATTATTTACAGTGGTTGAGAATGAGGGTTAAAAAGAGTCATTTTTCCACATATATTGTTTTTTTTTGCAAAAAAACTTTATTAACATTATAAGTGAACCTCAAGGAACATATTAAAGTAATAAATAAAAAAAATCCATGTCATGACCCCTTTAATTTCACCAAGGTAACTGGCTAACACAGATGAGATTTTAACAAAATTATAAGAAATACTCAGTTGCACGAGTGGGTGTTGGGGAAAAAATAAAAAGTAATATTTAAATAAATTAATTAATAATATTTTGATAGTTTTGCCACTGTTTTCCAGCAAAATCATGTTTCAAATAGCTACTGCAAAGTTACAATTTAAATGTACAATTTCCAGATATTGCTATAAAACTTTAATTAAATGTAATTTTATTAATTAATTTTTTTTTTGTTTTTTGTTATTTATTATTTAATGCAACTTTTCAAAAAAAAATATAATTTTTTATATACAAAAGTTTTAATAAAATAAAGTGATCAGGGTCAGTGAGATATTTTAAAACATTGTTAATATAATTGTTTAATTATTTTTGTGAAGATTACATGAAAATAATACTACTAATAATAATAATTAAAAATATAGATTTTTATTTAGATAGCTAAAACAATCAGTTTTTTTTCCTGATACATAAAATAAGTTGCTTTATTGTGAAGGTCAGAAAAAATAGCAGCCTAAAATAATAAAAGCATTACTGTTGAGCCCTGACTTGTTTTAGATTCTGTCATGTGCAACTTTGTGTCTCTCTCTTACCCTAAAGACCTCTGTGTGGTCCAAGCGGGACACGAGGACCAGGCTTTTAGGAGCGTACAGTTGAGCAGGTTGGAGCACGTCTGGACTCTCATCTTCATCAGCCTCACTGGCCTCTCCTTTCTGTAGCTGAACACACACAACAAATAAAACACCCTCAAACTGCACCTAGAATTACTACACTTAAATCACTTAAACATTAGATGGCCAATCTACAAAAAAAGCGATTCCTCAACCACCATAATCCATTTTAACACAGCAGTAAATCCCCCCCAACCATCAGCACCGTTGTATCCTGTTGTATAATTTCTGCACGTGCTCGGCACAAACCTGCGGGTTCTCCACGGACTCCCAGAAGGTGAAGCAGGCGCAGTAATGCCGCTCAGAGTTGATGTCTGTGAGAACCGACACAAAGAAAGACGGAGGCTTTCTCTCGGGATCCAGCTGCCATCCACTGGGCTGACAGAACTGAAAGAGACGCCACGAGATTAAAAAGACGTCTTCATCAGATGCTATGAAAACACTGCCAGATTCATTCAATTTTGTTGGATAAATCTGTAAATTCTGGGATATCCTCTGTTTGTTTGTGATGGGCTTACCAGCTCAAGGCCTTGAGGGAAGGGGTTATCTTCCCAGTCCTTCTCTGGGAAACGCTGGAGAATCCGGCCTTGACCCTCACTACCTCCTACACAAAGAAAAAAGAGAAACAAAGGATAAATGGACGCATAAGGACTGAAAGCAGCTCATGTAAAGCTCTGCAAATTTGACTTGACAGAAAATGCCTTTAGTTTGATGCACAACATGATAACAACATAAACCTATTTTTTCCCTCTCTGGGGAAAAAAACAATAAAAAGACATAAAACACTGATAATGAGTACTTCCTGACTTATAAACAAGCAGTGCAAACTTTGTTTATGCCTTTGTATTTTGGGCATTGTTAATTAGTCATTTCAAACTAACACAAAATCATATTTAATTCCTTAATGTCTCTGTTTGTTTTGTGCATGATTCATCTATGCACATTATGCTGGAGGGAAAAGCTCTACTTTCATAACCTTACATTAAAATGCCTTTGAAATGATTTAAAATAAAATGCAAATATGATAAAGCAAAGACAAAAAAAATGACACAAACAAATAAAACTGAAAACATAATGCAAAATAAAATAAAACAAACAACAAAACTTTTCATTTTGAAGCTGTATGAAGTAATCAAATAAATAATAAACAACAATAAAAATCTAATTAAAAATAAAACATGAAAAAGCTAGAGAAACCAACTAAAATACAAAATAATATATACAAATATAAAAGCAAAATAAAATATACATTTAAATAAATCTATAAATATGATAAAGCAAACAAAACAAGAAATAAAAAAAACACTAAACAAAACATCTCAGTTTTTGAATCTGAGGCTGAAAACAAAACTTAACCAGATAAAAATAAAGAAAAAAACCGATATATTATAGAAAACAAAAATCAGCAAATATGACAAGATAAACAAAACATTTAGTGTTTTGAAGTATGAAGCAGGCTAATACAATGTAAGTGAGAGTTGAGAATGTTGAGAACAGGAGAGGAGATAAAGAACAGCACCTGCCTGGGCTTTTATCAGCTAAACAAAACCATACATAAAACAAACAAAGACTGGGACGTCTCCCAAGACCCAACACACAAATCATAAGAGCGCACACAAATTAAATCATTTTAAATCTTGCAGGACTGGATGCTCCAATGTACAGCGCTGACAGCACTCCAAAAGACCATCATTCAGGAATTCATCTGCCTCTTTGAACATCTTATCAGATAATGTGCACAACCGCATACACACACACACGACTGACTGAGCTACAGTAGAAGGTCTGTTAAACAGCAAGCGTTGTGAGATTGAACACAGGGATGGTTTGTGTCAGTTAGTGAGTGTGCTTATTGCACAGAGGAATCATGGGATTTGAGCCAGAGTTCATTTAGATAGCTGTCCCTCTTTACCCAGAATAACTGAGTTTCCCTGTGCTGTTGACGGCACGATGACCAGCAGGACAAGACTTTAGGTGTCAAACCCAAGCCTTATCCAAGAAAAGCCCTCATTTGAGTAAAGGACAAAGGTCAAAATTTAAAAATGCACACTTTATTTGAGCCTAAGGTCCTACGCTTTGGTCACGGCTCACTTATCCGAACAATTTTCTGAAAAACTAGAACTAGACATGGAATTTTCCATTCTTTGACCCAAATTTGAAATTTTCATGACTGCTTAAAATTCTGTAAAAAATGTATTTCCATTAATTTCCCATGAAAGTGTGGAAAACATAATAATAAAATAATACTTTAAAATGTTAAATAAAAAGCATGATAAGTTACAAAATGAAATAAAATGTAAAATGATCAATTTCTCACACCTTCTTTGTGAAAAATGTTTTTAAATTAATAATAATTATTTTTTTTATTATTAGAATCATTTCTCAAACCTTCTTTATGAAGATTTTTTTAACATGAATAATAAGTTTTGCCACTGTTTTCCAGCAAAATCATGTTTCAAATAGCTACTGCAAAGTTACAATTTAAATGTACAATTTCCAGATATTGCTATAAAACTTTAATTAAATGTAATTTTATTAATTCATTTTTTTTGTTTTTTTTTGTTATTTATTATTTAATGCAACTTTTCAAAAAAAAATATTAATATTTATAATATAATAATATATAAAATAATACATAATTATTAGATAATTATTATTTCATAAATATTAAATATTATCATTATTATTATTTATTGCAATAACACTTTTAATTTAAATTAATAATTTTATTGGGTTTCATTTTCTTTTATAAAACCTGAATGCATTACTCTCATCTGTTCTGTAACTGGAATGGAATTTCTTTTTCTTTTTTTTATAAATAAATATAAATAAATAAATATGTAAGTAAGTAAGTAGAATTGTAAAACTCATACACACAAAATCAGAGAGCAAAAAAAAATTAATTATGTTTCTGAAAAAAAAAAAAAAAAAAAAAAAATTTGAAATTGAAACTGGATTTCCCCCAACCCCTCGTGTGTGTGCAAGTTTGCACGTATAAAAAGTCTCACTATAGGTGAGTGATGTGGTGCACATGGCTGATGGGGTTAAAATAAATGGAGGTGTGAACGGCCACACCTTCCTCCTTACATCAGCTCGGGCTCATGAAGAGTGTCATGTTTACTCGAGAGCGATCCATGTGAGCCATAAATAAATGAAGCATTGTGGGAAATGAAATAAAGGTTGGTACGTGCAGCCTGGGTGTCATCAAACAAGTCTGGAGTTGGAATAAAACCTCTCCCTAAACAAAGAAGCCAAGCTATTAGCCATTGAAAGTTAGACAACAAATATCAACAGAAACTCAAACACTGATGCAGATGACTTCACGGGACAAGTGCATAGTAGTAATTTTATTCATATTAATAATTTTTTTTTTTTTAAATCCTATACATTCTGACCAATGAATTCCTTGCATTTTTCAATGAATTATCATTTTACAGACAAAACAAAAGGCCATTTCCAGCTAATGAAATCCTAAAACAGAATGCTGAATACAGAACCTGTGGCTGATGCCTTTGACGATAGCAAGACGATTATTATTATTATCTGGCTAGTAATACTATCTAATTCATATTAAGGCTTATTTGTTGCATTATATTTCTTTTTCTGCATTTTTACAGTATTGCGCGTTCTAACCAATCGCACACGATAATGCTGAGCTTATGAATGCAATGGCCAATCAGAGGCGTTCAGACTCGCGAATTCTCTCATCATAAACAACAAAGTGCAGATGTATGTGCGATGTAAGTATAAGAGATGTATTCATCATATAGTGTAGATTCGCTGAGTTTAACGGGAGTGTTTTTAAAGTGCATAAATTCGCGCTAGACTGAGCTTGTGATGTTATTTGGTAATGTAATGTTCTTTGCTGGTTTTCTGTAGCTGCTTCTTGAATAACAGGAAATGTAAGCATTATAATTAGTAACTTACAATGTTTCTATTTATTTGTTATCATGTTAAATACAAATTCAGTCATATTAAAAACATTAGGCTGCTTTTAGTCTTACGCTGGAGTTGGTTCACTTTCTCGCAATGAAACTAAGTAAAGAAGGTATACCGTCGATAAATATCGATACCGTTTTATCGCTCAGGCCTACTCCAAACACTAATTCACTCCAGTGCTCCCAGATAACAGCTGAGTCAGCAAACGAGGCAAGAATTCTCCCAAGGGGAACATTGTGAAAGGTCTAAACAGAAGTTATCAACACATACACATGCATTTAAGACATTTAAAGCCAAAATGCAAAAGTAGGAATGTTGCACGCAAGGCTTTGGACAAATCAGAGGAGAATTCTGACCTCATTTCTGGACTCCAGGGACAAAACAAAAAGCTTGGAATCAAAACAAGCGAGTTAAGGACAAACAGTTGGAGTCTAAGAACCTTCTAAAATCCAACAAAGAAAAATTGGGTCAGTGGGATTTTATGGAGGCCACATAAGCTGTGAAGGTTTCTCAATGATCTACCAATGCAATCCACCGTGTTGGCGGGACCAGAATACCAAAACCTTGCACCTGAGATTTTGGCTCTTGAATGGGGTGCACATGGCTGATGGGGTTAAAATAAATGGAGGTGTGAACGGCCACACCTTCCTCCTTACATCAGCTCGGGCTCATGAAGAGTGTCATGTTTACTCGAGAGCGATCCATGTGAGCCATAAATAAATGAAGCATTGTGGGAAATGAAATAAAGGTTGGTACGTGCAGCCTGGGTGTCATCAAACAAGTCTGGAGTTGGAATAAAACCTCTCCCTAAACAAAGAAGCCAAGCTATTAGCCATTGAAAGTTAGACAACAAATATCAACAGAAACTCAAACACTGATGCAGATGACTTCACGGGACAAGTGCATAGTAGTAATTTTATTCATATTAATAATTTTTTTTTTTTTAAATCCTATACATTCTGACCAATGAATTCCTTGCATTTTTCAATGAATTATCATTTTACAGACAAAACAAAAGGCCATTTCCAGCTAATGAAATCCTAAAACAGAATGCTGAATACAGAACCTGTGGCTGATGCCTTTGACGATAGCAAGACGATTATTATTATTATCTGGCTAGTAATACTATCTAATTCATATTAAGGCTTATTTGTTGCATTATATTTCTTTTTCTGCATTTTTACAGTATTGCGCGTTCTAACCAATCGCACACGATAATGCTGAGCTTATGAATGCAATGGCCAATCAGAGGCGTTCAGACTCGCGAATTCTCTCATCATAAACAACAAAGTGCAGATGTATGTGCGATGTAAGTATAAGAGATGTATTCATCATATAGTGTAGATTCGCTGAGTTTAACGGGAGTGTTTTTAAAGTGCATAAATTCACGCTAGACTGAGCTTGTGATGTTATTTGGTAATGTAATGTTCTTTGCTGGTTTTCTGTAGCTGCTTCTTGAATAACAGGAAATGTAAGCATTATAATTAGTAACTTACAATGTTTCTATTTATTTGTTATCATGTTAAATACAAATTCAGTCATATTAAAAACATTAGGCTGCTTTTAGTCTTACGCTGGAGTTGGTTCACTTTCTCGCAATGAAACTAAGTAAAGAAGGTATACCGTCGATAAATATCGATACCGTTTTATCGCTCAGGCCTACTC